CTCAATGGTATCTCAGCGAGCTCAAAAGGAACTTGAATCCTTGTTAGACTATCTCCAGCAGGAGTCAGAAATTTTAACCTTCTCTCTCCTGCCACATCACTTTATTCCCCCTCCACATAATTCAACAATCTTCATTTTCTATCATCTCTACAGCAGGAGTTTTTTCAAAAGATTTTTACTTTATTTGGGACCCACTATAACCCCATCCCTCCAACATATATACCCCACTTTATTTATTCATTTCTTTTTCTTATTTCATATATATTACTACTACTACTATTATTATTACTAATATAACTCATTTATTTATAATTATAAATTTTTAATATTTACATAAACAATATATATTATTAATTTTTTTTTTATAATATTTTTATATTAACAAAAAAACACACGATTTTATTAAGCATACGGAAAAGTCAAACACACAAATTATTGAAAACATTAAAGATTAAATTGGTAAATCTTAATCAGAGGTTGTTCCAAATTTCTGTCAAATGTGCTTGATGAGATCCTTTTTCAACTGAATATGTTGGCTCCTATCTCGTAGTTCGGCTCTAGCATGATAATTTTGTGAAGGATCCATTTGAAAAAGTTTGAAGAATATAGAAGCAAAAGCAAAGAGAAGGAGAATAAGGTGTTGAAAACTTAGATTTTTTTTGGTGTCCAAATTACACAAGACTAATCTCTATTTATAGAGGTGAAAAAATAAAAATTATTGCTATAAAAATTATAAATTAATTCCTAGTATTTATCTCCCAAAATATCATTTAAAAATTAGGAATAAAACAAAAAACACCAACCAATCAAGCCTTGACACATGGCTTGATACATGGGCTTCTTCATTTCGCGGAACCCAGGCGGTCAGAAAAACCGGAGGTGAAATTTTCACCCTCCGATTTCCGATTTTCCATTTCACCCCCAAAAAACCCACCTGCTGGAGCAAAACCCCCCCCAAAAACCACCTGCTGGAGATAGTCTTACTACAATATAAACCCCGAGAACTTTCATTGTTTCCCAGTAAACCCCAAAAACTATAGGAATTGCAGAAAATTCGCAATAAGTTTCTACCTTGTGCAGATAACCCCCATTACGGTGTGATTCCATATTTTGTGTTGGCGACATATTTTAGATCCTAAATGTGGATTACTGTCGTTATGGGTGTTATCTGCAAGATGCGAAAGCTTATTGGGGTTGTCCGCAAAATGATGAAAGTTTTTGGGGGTTTAGTATAGTTTACCTTATTTTCTTTGCAAAAAGGTGGCGAAAATGTGCCAAGAAGCTAACTATCGATTAATAAAACAGCGAGCATGATAATCAGGCTTCAAAAATTATCTGATATTCTATAACATACGTTGTGCGACTTCATGGACAAACAAAATTTTGATAGCGAAAATTGAAAAATAATTTATAAAATTTGCACGTTTGTCACAAATGATCATAAAATTAATAAATGAATTCTTTTTTCTTACAGTGGAAGGAGATAAGAATGACCTCCATTTAGTAGATTACCTGAGCAAAATTGATAAGAGGTGATCTATGATAAGAAGCTCATAAGTTCGAAACATGTCACCACCCTTATGAAGACTTCGCTACATTGTGAAAGAGGAGGGACCAATCCAAATTTCAAAAAACAAAATCCAAAATTAAGTCTGTATTCCTTAATGTAGTACACCCAGAACTTCTCTCAAATATTTTTTTCTTCCTTTGAAACAAGATATAGCATATCAACAAAAATAAACTAGTATTTGTTTACCGTTATTACTCATGAGAACACACTGAACAGAGAATCTGATCTAAGGGGGTTCTGGGGTTCTATTTATGTGACCGACAAGCCCTCAACATATTCTGAAGTTCTTGCATAGCTGTTTTCAAATTCTCAGAATTCTACCTGATTAGATGCCAAGCTCGCATCGTCACATACAATAGTAGCACATGAACGACGAAAACGCTGGATACTGATGTGAAATAGTCTTTTAGACTCTTTACACACAGAAGACGTACCAAAAAGAAAGCCTATGCTATTGCTGTAGCTTAAATTTAAATTTCAAGCAAGAGGAAGAATCATCAAACCCATATAAGCAAGATGGATATATCCATTTAACACAGTTATAGCTAGGTGTAGCATAGCATGACAATTTATTGGCATTAGCAATCATACTTCTTTCAGTTCTTTTGACTTGTGACCATTTACATACATGTACAGTGGAAGTTAGCTTTACAACAATTACAGTCGCCACGGAAGATAGGCAGACGAGCTCAGACGAGCTGACCTCTTCCTTCCTGATGCTTTAGTCCTGTGGCTATATTATGTTTTCAATATTCTGTTTTCAATATTCTAAGCGAATATGTACATGTTATCTAGGTGAAAACATAGCAGCTTGCACTAACAGTCATCAGAAGTCTGCGTTGGTTGATATCTCGGCTTTGCTGTCTTCTTCCCAAATATGGAAGACATCTCTCACCTTTTGCTTCTTTGTTTTTTCTTTTTCTTGTAGTTCTGAAGCATTTCATCTCGATCTGAAGGTGATCAGGCCTTCTACGAAGGAGGGTTACGGATTTGTCGTGTGACTTTCTGGGCTGCCCCATATTCTTTCATCAATGAGAACTAACAAATAGATGGATCTGTCTAAATCTAAAATAACATACAGCCTAAGCCTTACTGCAAGCTTTTGGCACAGGCCTTCTACGAAGGAGGGTTACGGATTTGTCGTGTGACTTTCTGGGCTGCCCCATATTCTTTCATCAATGAGAACTAACAAATAGATGGATCTGTCTAAATCTAAAATAACATACAGCCTAAGCCTTACTGCAAGCATGAGCCTCTTGTTTCTGAAACGTGGCGGCGAAATAAAAGCTCATGCTGACCAAGCCCAAACCTAGGGTATGGAAGTTTAGCAACGATATCAAGAAAAAGTCTCTAACGAACTCTCTCTATCTCTCTCTCTCTCCCTCTCTCTCTAAAAGAAAGTAAGAAGAAGAAGAAAGAAAAAAAAAAGAGAAGGGAACGCGGATGAGCGTGTTAGATTATGTATTGGTTCCACTAGGGCTTGGTGTAATGGCAGGCTATCAGGGGTGGCTCCTCTACATGGTGATGAAGCACCCAACCAAAACAGTCATTGGCATCAATTCCATCAACAGGAGAGCATGGGTCAACACAATGATGGAGGTAACAATGTTAACTAAGCTTTCAACCCTCACCCCACCCCCAAGCATCTATTATAATGAGAAGTAATAAAGTGAGATGACGAGAAAGAGATTCTTCTCGTAACGTAGCACAACGTATTATTAGTCAGTACGATGGTTGACATTTATCTTAATTTACATATCACACGCAGTTAACTATTGCTATATACATGCATGGACGTTGCAAGGATTTGGGTACAATGAGATAAAGCACGAGGGAGATCTATGTTCATGCATTATGTACTTTACGTATCTTGATAGATAAACTGGAATGATAAAACAAAAACATATTTTATTGATGAAGAACAAGATAGGATTTTCTTTTATTATCTCGTTCGATCTATATGTGGATAATTCAGATGTTGGTCCAGATTGTACAGATTTTGTGTCATAAGTCAACTCATGCACAGTCATAAGTCAACTTATGGTAAGTCGACTTATATTAGCGGAAATAACATGTGCATATTTTTGTGATTGTTTCTGTAAATATTCCCTAGGCTAGGTATGTTAAGATGAGTTGTATGATTGATCTACTTTCCTATCTTAGCTTATTTGCTACTTAGTTTAGCTTTGCTATTTATGTAAATATTCTAGCTGTACAAGGAAAGTTGAATCAGCTTTGTGTATATATTCCCAGGCTACGGCCAAAACAAATCAATGAAAATCATTTCCACAAAACTCTTTATGGTATCAGAGCGTCTCAAGAATAGGAGAGAGGGCTAATTTTTTCAATCGTTCTCCAGCTATTGAAACCTTCGATCTTCAAACACGAATTCCGACTATCGACACTTCGTCATGGGTGACGACAAGACCACAAAGCCCCTCGACTCCACATCTCCATACTACCTCCATCCCTCCGACGGACCACAAATCACAATCTGTCCAATTGTGTTACGTGGTGAGAACTACAATGAATGGGTTCGTTCGATGCGCAATAACTTCCGTGCAAAGAACAAACTCGGCTTCCTCGATGGAACCATAGCCAAACCGACGAAAGGAACTCCAGAAGAGTCCTTATGGGTGAGGGTTAATTCCACTCTCGTAGGATGGATTCATAATACCCTTGATCCAGTCTTACGCTCATCCGTCCCTCAACCTGATGATGTGAAAGATATGTGGGATGATATTCGACAACGTTTTGCGATAGGAAACGGTCCAAGAATCCATGAGTTGAAGACACTTCTGAGTAATTGCAAGCAGCGTGGCCTCTCTGTGGTGAATTACTACAACGAATTAAGGAAGATATGGGATGAACTTGCGGGATATTCTACTGTCCCAACATGTACTTGTGCCGCTGCTACTGAATTTGCTAAAGAAAAAGAGAATGAAAAGGTACATGCCTTCCTGGTTGGTTTGGATTCTACTCTTTATGCTAATGTTGTTTCAAATATTTTGATGATGGAACCTTTGCCGAGCTTAAACACGATTTTTGCTAAGATCGTGACTGAAGAACGTCACCAAACTATTGCTCGAGCCCACAAAACCAAATCTGATGTTGTCGGTTTCGCGGCACAAGGGGTTGCTAGGGGGGCGCAATCTTGCTCGTGGTAGTGAGCATCCTCGATCCAATGGCGTCTGCTCTCATTGCGCCAAACCTGGGCATGACCAAGAAAGTTGTTTTCAACTGATTGGGTTCCCGGATTGGTGGTATTCTGAAAACCGCACCAATGGAGGGCAAGGAAGAGGCGGAGGCAGGTTTGGACGAGGGGGAGGAAGGACTGCAGGTTGAGGCAGCCAGGTAGTCGCGGGCAGGTAGCAAACGCAGCAGCCACCTCGAAGTCTGCTGCCAATACAAGCTATGCTCAGGTACCCCTACAGGAGTCAGATCGTAGCGGCATTCATGCTCTCTCGGATGATCAGTGGGCTACACTTGTGAACATGCTCAACACTTCCAAAGGGCAGTCTTCTTCGACCGAAAAGTTGAGTGGCAAGTTTGATGTTCCCGATCAATGGATCATCGATACCGGATGCTCGAACCACATGACTGGTAATGCTAGATTATTTAGCAAATTGATTGATATTTCTCCTACTTATGTTGGGCTGCCTAATGGCAAACAAACCATCGCTACTAAGGAAGGGACGATAACTCTGAGCAAAAATATGGTGCTAAATAATGTATTATTGGTTCCAGATCTTACTTGTAATTTGCTGTCGGTGTCTCACTTGCTTGCCGATTTACATTTTTCTGTCACTTTTACTGATAAGCTTTGCATCATACAGGACCGTACTTTGAGGACTCTGATTGGAGCGGGTGAACAATGTGACAGGGTTTACTGGTTTCGGCCTCTGCGACAACTTCGGGCTTATCATGCAACTGTGAGAGATAAACGAGAATTGTGGCATCAAAGGCTGGGACACCCCTCTCGGAAAGTAGATTTTCTTTTGCCTGATATTATTCGAAGTAATGGAAATGAGGATGTTCGTGCTATTCATGAATCTTGTGATATTTGTTTAAGAGCTAAGCAAACTAGAAGCAGGTTTCCTTTGAGTAATAATAAAGCCAAAGATGTTTTTGACTTAATCCATTGTGATATATGGGGCGCGTATACTTTGCCGGCTAGTTGTGGTGCTCATTATTTTTTAACCATTGTCGATGACTGTTCTCGAGCCGTATGGGTTTATTTGATGTCCACAAAGTCTGAGGTGCCTCAACTTATTACGGATTTCTGTAGAATGGTTAAAACCCAATTTGATAAGCATGTTAAAATTCTAAGAAGTGACAACGGAAGGGAATTTACATGTCTTCATCGGTTTTATGCTGACAATGGTATTATTCATCAAACCTCGTGTGTCGACACTCCACAACAAAATCTTAGAGCTAGGGGTGTGCAACGGTCGGTTCGGTTCGGTTTTTACCAAAATTTGAACAACCGAACCGAACCGCCTATAATTCAAAACCAAACCGAATTGTTGCAAATCGGTTCGGTGTGGTTCGGTTCAGTTTGTTCGGTTCTAACTTCATCAAACTTCTTATCAAACAACAAACCGTGTTAAAGAAAAAAAAATCAACAAAGTAGGAGATTATGAAGCATTAAACACTGATATAATGGTATTGTTTTCAACCCATAATGATCCAGAAAATAAGTTTAGAGTTTGAGACTTTGACTCTTTGGAGACGGGTCGGGTAGGGTTTGAGATCAGAATGGATAGTATTGCACTATATTCGGTCGGTTCGGGTCGGTTCGGGTTGAAAAGTTTTCAAACCGACCTGAACCGCCCTACTCATAAAACCGATTTTTTCGGATCGGTTCGGGTCGGTTCGGTCGGTTTTTTCGGTTTGGACCGAACCATGCTCAGCCCTACTTAGAGCAAAAGATGTTCTTTATATCTCGAGATGTTGTTTTTTGTGAAAAACAATTCCCTTTTGCTAGTGAAATCCATTTGAATAATACTGATGGTGTATTTGAAAATGAGGAGTATTATAACGCTGGGCCTTATTTTGAGGATACTCCCTTAGCAAGGGGGAGTGAGGAGCACTCGGTTGTGGCAGGAGGAATTGATGGCAGGGCTGAAGAGGTTGAGCAGCACGTCACACCACCTACGGGTGGCGGGTTGGAGGCTGTCCAACAACTTTGTGTTGGTACAACTTCGAATACTGGGGAGGTGATTAATGAAGCGAATGTTCTACAAGAAACTGGTCGAGGACATCGAATAAAGAAACCTTCTAGTAAACTCAAGGACTTCATCACCAATACTGTTCGAGTTATAAACCCTGTCACATCACCTACAACCGCTCCATCAAAGTCGTCAGGTACTCCTTTTCCCATTGCTTATTATGTAAATTGTGATAAGTTTTCTGTGAGACACACCCGTTTCTTGGCAGCAATTACTGCAGGCACTGAACCCACATCTTTTAAAGAAGCTGTTAAGGACCCTGGTTGGCGGAAAGCAATGCAAGAAGAAATAGATGCCCTTGAGAGAAATAGAACTTGGACTTTAGAGGACCTTCCACCCGGGAAGAAGGCAATCGGGTGTAAGTGGGTCTATAAAGTCAAATATCGATCTGATGGTACGGTTGAACGATTAAAGGGGCGTCTAGTAGTGTACGGGAATCGACAAGTTGCAGGAATTGACTTCAATGAAACATTTGCCCCTGTAGCTAAAATGGTCACGGTTCGAACATTTTTGGCTATAGCAGTGGCAAGAAAGTGGGAACTACACCAGATGGATGTGCATAACGCCTTTTTACATGGAGATCTTGATGAGGAGGTATATATGCAACTACCTCCTGGCTTTAATTCTGCTACTTCGGGTAAGGTGTGTCGATTACGTAAGTCACTCTATGGACTCCGACAAGCACCACGGAATTGGTTTGCTAAGCTCTCGACTGCTTTGAAGGATATTGGTTTTAAACAATCTTATGTTGATTACTCATTGTTTAGTTATTCCAAGGGTGATGTTGCTTTACATGTTCTTGTGTACGTGGATGACATTATAATCACATGTTCTTCTTCTTTGGCAATTGAGAAATTCAAGTGACAACTAAGTGAGAGATTTCATATGAAAGACTTGGGCGTTCTCAAATATTTTCTCGGCATTGAAGTGGCACGTGGGAAGGACGGTTTGTTTCTTTCACAACGAAAATATGTTCTTGACATCGTAAGTGAGGCCGGATTACTTGGAGCACGCCCCGCTTCTACACCCATGGAACAAAATCACCATCTTGCCACCATAAATGGCGTTGTCTTTGATGATCCGGAGAAGTACAGGCGACTTGTAGGGCGCTTAATCTACTTGACGATTACACGGCCTGAATTGTGTTACTCCGTACATATATTAGCTCAGTTTATGGGTGATCCTCGTGTTGAACATTGGGATGCAGCTTTGAGAGTTTTGCGGTATTTGAAAGGTTGTCCTGGACAGGGTATTTTGCTGCGTGGGGAGAGCAATTTTCAACTCTATGCCTTCTGTGATAGTGACTGGGCAAGTTGCCCCATAACTCGGAGATCATTGACTGGTTACTTTATTTTATTAGGCTCTTCTCCTATCTCTTGGAAAACGAAAAAACAGTCAACTGTTTCCCGATCTTCTGCGGAGGCCGAGTATAGGTCTATGGCAACTACTACATGTGAGTTAAAGTGGTTGAAATCCCTTTTGGCTTGTTTTGGGATACAACATGTGCGTCCCATGCGATTATTTTGTGATAGTCAAGCTGCTCTCTATATAGCGGCTAATCCGGTTTTCCATGAAAGAACGAAACATATAGAAATGGATTGTCACTTTGTTCGTGATGCTTTGCAAGATGGAACAATTTCTACGTCTCATATTCGGACCGGTGCACAGCTAGCAGATATTTTGACCAAGGCTCTTGGTAAATCACAGTTTTATTTACTCCTTCGCAAGTTGGGCATTTCCAATCTCCATGCTCCAACTTGAGGGGGAGTATTAGCGGAAATAACATGTGCATATTTTTGTGATTGATTCTGTAAATATTCCCTAGGCTAGGTATGTTAAGATGAGTTGTATGATTGATCTACTTTCCTATCTTAGCTTATTTGCTACTTAGTTTAGCTTTGCTATTTATGTAAATATTCTAGCTGTACAAGGAAAGTTGAATCAGCTTTGTGTATATATTCCCAGGCTACGGCCAAAACAAATCAATGAAAATCATTTCCACAAAACTCTTTAACTTACGTCCTACTGTGGAGTTGTTGTTTTTGGCTCTGGCAAGTCGACTTGTCAGGTCTGACAAGTCGACTTATGATCTGTTTTCCAGTTTGTGTTTTTCGCTCTGCCAAGTCGACTTATGGCCTCTGTTAAGTCGACTTACGACGGGTTTTCAGCCTGTTTTGGTTTCCTTTTTGGATTCTGAATTGGTTTTGGTGTTAGGTATAAATATCAACATGTTTTAGGATTTCTTTGGCTTTGATTGGTGATTAAATTAGGGATATTTGAAGCACACAAAAAAGGTATTTTCTGAGCTATTGGTTAGGGTTTTGTTTGGAGAAAATTAGAGATTTGTTGGTAAGATTAATTGATGAGTTCGAATGATTTGTAATCTCAGTTTGTACTCTTCTTCTCTATTAGTGAAAGCCTCATCCCCTTCTTGTCCCGTGGACGTAGGTAACTTGCTGAACCACGTTAAAATTGGTTGTTCGTGTTTGTGCCGTTATTTTGCATTGTTTGATATTTCTCTCTCGGCGTTTGTTTGGTTTGGTTCCTCGAAGCACATAGGTTTGGTGGCTTCCGCGCGTAACAAGTGGTATCAGAGCATAACAAGTGGTATCAGAGTTTGGGCTACGCTTGGGCTAATTGGAGGAGTAGATTGCTTTGGAAGTTCGTCTAGGGCTTCAATTGGTGATAAAAGTGGGATTTTTCCTATTTGTAGATCTCGTTTCTGTCTTGTGGGGTGAGATCTTTCGGAGGGCCTTGTTAGGGTTTCAGTTGGAGGTAAAAATCTCTTTTTTCAGTTTGGATCTATTCTTCGTTTGTTCCGTATTGTTTTGTTGGTGCTTTGAGAAAGATGACCGAGAAAGAAGAAGTTGAGGTTGGGATATTGGATTGTTGAGGAGTGCTTTGACCTGCATATTGAAGTCCTTTGAGCACATTGGTATGAGCAAGAACACCGATGTGAAGTTTGGCACTTTTATCTATCGATCGAGGAGTCTTTTAGGTGGTGTTCATTCAGGCATTTGGGGGCCTTCCAAAGAGGCGTTATTGGGAGGTAATCAGTATTTGATTTTTGTAGTTAGGGACTATTCTAGGCATTGATGGGTTGCAACCAAGTCCCGTTTGTGTGAAGTCCTAGAAGTCAACAACAGATGGAGGAAGTGTATTAGCAGAAAGGTGATCCGTTATTCTGATTTTGGTAGGGGTCCTTTCTTGCGTTTGTGTTGAGCTCACGACAAGTTGATACACTTCATTGGAGAGGAAACATTGGGGTGACGAGATGTGATGACAGTTTTTATGAGTCGTTCCTTGCTGGAGGAGGATTGATGTTGGTTATCGAGCATTGGATTGCAGAGGAGTTTTGGAGCTTTGACATATTTGGATCATCTAAGTCATAGGTTGCCGACTGCTGCGTTTGGAGTTATTAGATTTGGTGGAGTTGCTTCAGATTTTGGGTTGCGTTGAATGTTTGGTTGCCCAATATTTGGTCACATCGAAGATGTGAGATTTGATCTGATTGCACGTTTTGGATTCAGAGGCTCGTTTGGTTATCAGTTGGAAGACTCTGATTTTGTTCTGAGTAGGTATGTCACATTAGACTCTCGGCAGGTGGAGAGTGTTGATCAGATCGTTAGGATATCGTAACGGATGGAGGGTGATGCTACTCCACATTGGGTGAAGATTACTCCATATACTCCATATCATACTACATCGTTTGGGATTCCAGCTGAGATGACACAGTTTGGGGATCATTTGGATTTGGATGCAGATGATGAGTTGATTGATTCGAGTGGAACTAGTGGACATAGTTTCGATTTGGATATGACCGTTGGTTCACCTCAGATGAAGGTGTTTAGTTTGTTTCATTTTGGGGTCATTGAGAGAGCTATAAGCCGCAGATTTGTTGGTGAAGAGTTGTGAACTCTTCTATTTGATTGAGGGTCTTTAGAGGTCGTTGAGTGAACTACGTGAAGACTTGATTCCTTGGGCAAGAGGATACTTAGACAGTCATTTTATGATGCAACAGGTTTGGTGAGTAGATACTGATGTTTTGAGAGTGATCACATTCTCATTTGGGTCTCGACTTGTTGTGAATTGAGTCCGTTATCATGGTTTTGTTCCACTTCGTACTGGATGCAACAAGTAAGACGTTTGGTTGGTATTGGTGTTGGCTCAGTTTTGGGGAAACTTCGCCGATGTGGAGATTTTTGGAGAATTCAGATGTTGGTCCAGATTGTGCAGATTTTGTGTCATAAGTCGACTTATGGTAAGTCGATGGTAAGTCGACTTACGTTCTACTGTGGAGTTATTGTTTTTGGCTCTAGCAAGTTGACCTGTCAAGTCTGACAAGTCAATTTATGATCTGTTCTCCAGTTGGTGTTTTTCGCTCTGCCAAGTCGACTTATGACCTCTGTTAAGTCGACTTATGACGAGTTTTCAGCCTGTTTTGGTTTCATGTTTGGATTCTGAATTGGTTTTGGTGTTAGGTATAAATATCAACATGTTTTAGGATTTCTTTGGCTTTGATTGGTGATTAAATTGGGGATATTTGAAGCACAGAAAAGAGGTATTTTCTGAGCTATTGGTTAGGGTTTTGTTTGGAGAGAATTAGAGATTTGTTGGTGAGATTAATTGATGAGTTCGAGTGATTTGTAATATCAGTTTGCACTTTTCTTTTCTATTAGTGAAAGCTCCATCCTCTTCTTGCCCCGTGGACGTAGGCAACTTGCCGAATCACGTTAAAATTGGTTGTTCGTGTTTGTGTCGTTATTTTGCATTGTTTGGTCTTTCTCTCTCGGCGTTGGTTTGGTTCGGTTCCTCGAAGCACATAGGTTTGGTGGCTTCCACGCGCAACAAGTACATATTAATTCTACGTATATGTGAAACTTTTCAGTTAGGATTTCTAGTTTGATCATCATTAAAAATGTTTTGAAGAAAAGTAAAATATTATGACTTATTACCTTTAAAAACTTTTGTTTTTAAAGTGAAAGAGAGAATAATGGGAAATCTAGAATGGCTAAAAAAAATCATCAAACTTTTGACTATCACGTTGATCTCAAAATGATCTTGCTTTATTGATCTTGAGTGTGACAGCCGAAAGCATTCTGATTTGTAACTTTTTTGGGATATTTTAACTCTTGATAGAACTACAAAAGTGACCATCTTTCTTGCAAATTTTAGTAAGGAAATTCCTCTACATGTCCACTTCTTTCTTAAAACCATACAAAATGTTTGCACCTTGTTTACTCACTTAAGCGATCCTAAAAATGTTGCATGCTTGCTGCACGCACATGTTTCATATTTCTAAGCCCGCCAAATTTCTGTTAAATTTCAGAAAGCTACCATGTACTTTGGATTTTTATAAAAATTTGTCATGAAGTATTTAGTAGAGAAAACTGTCATGACATTTTTCACCAATCTATCATGTTCGGTGACAAATAGAATAAGTTGTCATCATGTGTTTCACACATGATATGTTTTTGGCAAATTTATCTACAATTAGCTTATGAACTTTATCGGTGAAGAGATATGATAGTAATGATTCAAGGCATTAGCACCATCAACAATTATTTCCAATAGTTCATGATATATTTCTACACTTTGAAAGCTTACACGATAATTTCCCCTAGTAACAAAGCTTTTACGGTAATTTTCTTCGAGACCCTCCATTGTTCATGATAGTTTTTGTCAAATTTACTCTCTTTTATTGTCTTTTTCACCAGGAATCAAATTTGAATCCAACTAACACAATCTTCTCCAATATTCCCTATTCAGGATCCATCAAAAAATGGAATTCTTGCAGTCCAAACGCTAAGGAACAACATAATGGCATCAACTCTACTAGCGTCCACAGCAATCATGCTATGTTCACTAGTAGCCATGCTCATGACTCAATCTCCTCAAGGCCAAAGCATCATCACTACTTCAAACACAAGCATAAACTTCTCCCTCAAGTCATTCCTCATATTGGTATGCTTCCTCATTGCATTCCTGATGAACGTCCAATCCATAAGATTCTACAATCATGCAAGCATTTTGATCAACGCGAGGAGATCCCCGCTCCTGACGCATGAGTATGTTGCCTCAATGATCAATAGAGGGAGCTATTTTTGGTCGATAGGATTGAGAGCGTTTT